GGGGAGAAAAGAAACCCAGTGTTTTTTTTTTTTTTTTTTTTTTTTTTTTTTTTCCCAACGTTCACGTTTTTTTATTTTCTCTAGTTTTTTATTATATCATGCAGTTAATAAGCGTTCATGTAATTTATTATAACACATAAGAACATTGAAGTAAAAGAATAGGTGCATATGCAAATATGTGTTGTTATATGTATTGATGGGAAAGCTGTACTTTTTTTTTTTTTTTTTTTATCATGTTTTGCTTTACGTGCCTTTCCACTTTTTGTCACTTGAGGCACTTCAACTCCATTTGAATTTTGAACTCCCAAATTATGCTACGGTACTTATTGTGTCAATCTAAGTTGAAAGCATATTTTACTTATAAGTTTTCTTTTTTTTTTAATCTACCCAAAGAGTTGCTGTATGTAGTTGTAAAATATAAGTAAAATTAAAAATAAAAAACAAATGTAGGGGGTGGGGGGATGTGAAATTTTTACTTTTTCGATGAGAAGAATTTGTACACTGGAACAATTAAATAATGAGTAAAAAAAAAAAAAATAACGCGTTAAAAATGATAAAAAAAAAAAAAAAAAAAATTCGCATAAAAGTGTGCTTGGAAAAGGTTGAGCTAAAAGGGAAAGGAAATATATAAATAAATAAACAAATTGGAAAAGAACAAAAAAAACGCGATTTTCCATACTACATATATATAATATATATATATATTGTACATATAATATAAGTATGCATTTCTTCCCTTCTGGGAAAACGGAATATAAAATAAAATATTTTTGTTTACATTTAAAAAGAGCCCAAAAAAAAAAAGGATAGAAAAAAGAAAAAAAAAAAAACATCTTTTCTTTTTTTTTTTTTCTTTTAAAAAGATTAAAAAAATAAAAATTTATAGCAGCGCGTGGTTTCGATCCACGGTCCTGGGGGTTATGAGCCCCCCACTCTTCCTCTGAGCTACGCTGCTTTCAATAAATATATTAGAACGAATAGTCTCTTTCCTTTTTTTTTTTTTTTTTTTTTATTTTTAGCAATACGTGTATGAATAATATATAAGCACTTTTTTCTCAACTTGACATATCAGAGCAGCTTTGCAAAACTACCGAGTCTCACAACGTTCTCACAAACCGTCTCATCCAAATATTGTGTTTGATTTAAAAAAAAAATAAAAAATAAAAAAAAATAATCACAAGAGAAGGAAAACGCACAAAAGGGCAACTAATGCAATGTGAATCAAGAACACACTCTCTGATCCTGTTACTAAAGGCGCTCTTCCACACTTCCGTGTATTCAAATATATTTTAAGCACATATATAAGTGAATGCACGGATACATGCATATACACATATATATAGGATTATATATTTATGTTTATGCATATGTATATACCATACGTTTTTAACTCTTCTCATTTTCACCATTAGTAGGCATGAGCCTTAACTTAAGCTTGACAATTCTGCTTTACAAGCCGTAATGAAATATGCAAGTCATTTCCCGTTCCAATTCTTTACTTCTTTTATCTTTTATCTTATATCTTATATCTCTTATCTTATATCTCATATCTTATATCTCATATCTTATATCTTATATCTCATATCTTATATGTTTTTTTTTTTTTTTTTTTTTTTTTTTTTTCTCAAAAGTAGTAAAATTGTACGATCTCGAAAATTTGTTATATTCTTATTATACCCACGTTTATATAAAAATGTGTCTTCTCTGAAAAAAAGAAAAAAAAAAAAAAAAAAATGCTCTGACAAGAAGTAGTAATAATAAGTTTCCCCTAAATATAAAAAAGAAAACAAAGAAACAAAAATGTGTCAACAATTCTTTATTCCCCACAAATAAGATTAAAAATTAGATATACTTTGTGTATATTTTCCATTTTATGAAATGTAAAAAAGGGCGTAAATAAATTATGCACACAAGAAAAAAAAAATAATAACAATAATAAGAAGAAGAATAATGATAATAATAATAATAACGAAACAACAATAATAATAATATAACAAAATAACAAAATAAATTAAGTAAATAAAAAGGAACATTTTTAAGAACTTATTCTCCTCCCACTCTGCGTCGAACAAAATGTTGTGAATGAATAATGGTAAAGATTAAAGTATCAACGGATGGTGTGGAGCAATAAAAAAAAAATAAGCAAAAAATTGTAAGGATGTAAAAAAAGGAATCTTCATCTGTGTAAAGATATACAATTTTTATATGATAAGAAAGCTGTTCATGATATTCTTTATTACCTTATGTCTTAGTATACTTCTCTTTTTTGAATTAATATCTATTTTTATGAAATAAAAAAGCCAAGGATCTACAAATACCAACATTCTGATGAATACACATAATACATTTTTCACACTGAAATGTGTCATTCATGAATTGGCCACAAGTCAATCAGTATGAAGTATAAAGAGAGAAAAAAAAAAAAAAAAAAAAAAAAAAATTAAGATAAAATATATTTCACAAAAGTGTGAACATTACAAATGTATAGTTAAATTAAGACAGTAGAGAAAAAAAATCATTTTGAACAAAATGATACGGATAAATTTTTTAACACTATGCAGATTAATGTACAATGAAAAAAGAGAAAAAAAAAAAAAAAAAAAAAAAGTAAAATCTCACACAATTTCCCCATCTTTTTTTATATCACAACATTACAACAAAGTTTTTCTCTACATATAAAAGTATACATAAAACCCGATTGACAACAACTACTGTAAATAAATGTAACCAATTTGATAATTTTTTATAAATTTTTCATTCCTTACATGAGAAAAGATTTTATAAGACATAACAAATTGATTATAGAGAAAAGAAAAAAAAAAAAAAAAAAGAAAGAAACGAAAGGAAAGGAAATAAAAAGAACGATACGTGCGTTTGGACAGGATCACATGGCTCTTTTTTTTTTTTTTTTTTTGGGAATATCTGAAAGAGACAAATGATGCCCGGAGAAATGGCATTGAAAAAAAACAGTTCATGCTTTGTATATATATAGGAACATTCTTATATGAACATTTATTGCTATGTCAAACCTTGAGTAGACAAAAGGTTGAAATCCTATCCCTTTTATGTGAATCTCAGTGAGGTAAGTAAAACATTTTTTTCTTTACACATGAACAGTATTTATATATTATAAAATGTCAAAAAATGAAAAAAAAAATAAAATTTTTACATGGATATGTGCAAGACTGGACGTTCTAGCAGCACACTTGGCTAATTCAGTTAGGCAAAAAAAAAAAAAAAAAAGGAACAACAATCAGACCTTGTTGACCGGCTCTGTTGATGCAGATCCATACGCTGTAAGAACTTCTTCTCATTCTTCTTGTTCGTAAAATGAGGAACATAACTATATGTGCCTCCCTTAAATGACTTGTTTCACAGGATGATTCAATATTTTTTTTTTTTTTTTTTTTAACAAGTTGTGTAAACCATTTCATTCTTACGAATTTATTCTAGCACATAAGATTCAAAATGATGAAACGAAATCCAAAGACAAAAAAAAAAAAAAAAAAAAAAAAAAAATCTCCATAAGGGAACTATTTTAGTGAAGCTACACAACAAATGTTACATAAATACAGCTTAAGATATTAAAAATAAGATTAATATTTTTTTTTTAAACAGTTTTAGAGTAAGAAGAAAAAAAA